AAAAAAAACTATGAAGATTATCAATAGTAAAATAGAAGAAAAACCAAAGACAAAGAAAATAAATTTAGAGATGTATAAGATAGATATAAAATTTGAGAGGGTGTGAGAGATGAAGATGAATAAATAGTTGTTGTTAATGAAGCTTAAATTCGAAAAAAATTTATCATATCCTGTGATTATAAAATATCAAAATTTTATTCGAATTTATATGATCAAATCGTAAACATAATTTATATAATGCAATCGTAAACACAATCATATCCTATGATAACAACACATCCAACAATATGGAGGGGTCTCCCACCTCCCTATAAAAAAAAACACATCCAACAATATTGAAAAAGAAACATGTAATAACAAATCACATTTTTTAATGAATATAATTTCTACATACCTTTTAAAATCTTTGAATTCTTTTTCAACTCTCATCTTCTTCATCCTTCACCAAAGGATTTTATATGATTTCATTTTGTTTATTATTGAAACTTTAAAAAACAAATTTCAWTAAGAAATAAAAGAAAGTAAATGGAAGAGCAAATGAAGAGTTGGAGGTTAAACTTGGGTATACAAAATTACAAAAATAACCCGGGTTAATTATGAGCTATACATTTTCCATCAAGGGGCAAAAAAGTCTTTAACATATTCAACATTTAAAAAAATCAAAAAAATGAGAAAAAGAATAGGAAGGGTTCTAAGCATTAAAAGGTATCACCTCATTACCTTTGGTTTCTTTTTTAATATATATATAGATTAGGCATACATATAATATAACAACCAAAAGGAAAAGGCAATATTAATGAGTAATTAATATAAGAGAAAGGGAACAATTAATGAATTCCATTCATAACCCCTATACCATTGCTTTTTTTATTCCAAATATTAAATATTAAATATTAAATATTAAATTAATTGATACTCTATCAACAATATTTTATTTAATGATTGTTGTTTTAAAATATGTTATGTTTTTTTTTTAATATTTTTATCATTTTAAATAATATTTATTAAAAAAATATTAACGTCTTTTTAGAGTAAACTATAAATTTGGTCCCTTGGTTTGTAGGTTGTAAACATTTTTCATATCCATAATGGTCGTTATGATTTGCGAAAGCGTCCAAATTTGATCGTTCCCTTCATTAGAGTCGGATTCAGAGTTTTTTCAAACGGTAACACCATTTGACTATAAGAAACAAATATAGGGGAAAAAATTCAAACGGTGGCACCATTTGATTAAGAAAATGACATTAACAGGATTTGAACTCTGGTATGGGTGAAGAAAAGACTTGCAAATCAACTCTATCGAATAAATTTGTTCTAGTTGTAGTTTCAAAATACATACGACGGCATACAATAAATTAATATGATGACATTTTTCGCGACCATAACAAAAATTACACTACGATGGGTGAACAATACGATGGGACTGGCCACCGTATGCTCTACATTTGGTCCATACCTGCCTTTCACGTCCATTAAAACAATCCGTTAGATAAAGGGTATTTGACCTTTTTCCATATATTTATAGGGTTGGGTTCCGGTTTGGAAGTTATAGTGAGAAAGGTGAGAAGATATCTCCACCATTTGATTAATACAAGTTGAATATTAACAATAATGAAATGAATTCCCTGAGATGCACAATTTATGGGGTGGTGGTGAGATTCAGATTGATCAATGGTCCATATCTCTTYTTACATTTCTCATCTTGACTCCTATTATCACACAGTTCTTGGATTTTGACCATCTTTGTCGGCTACCCCACCTTCCTCGGGGCATGAGCATCACGAGCCTCACTCTCCCTTCTTCCCCTCCATCTCGATCTTCTCCCTCAATCTCATTCTGCAATTCACGATGGTTTCTTCCTCATTCTCTCTCACGGTGGTTATTCACTATCTCGATCTCTCATTACAACTCCAGTGTAACAAGGCTACTACAACCCTCCCTCCATTCCTCTTACTTCCCCTCCAACAACGTGCGGTGCAGATTCTTTATTTGGGTTTTATTTTGATTTGATTCTGGTTTGGATTTAGGTTCATCAATTAAGTTTGGATCAAGGGTTTGATGTTGATTTTGATTTTTAAAATCTAAATTTGAAGATGGGTTTGGTTTTGATGTTGATGTATGGATTTGTGTTTGATCGTATGGCTGACAATGACTGAACATGGCAAATGAGGTGTTCGAAGTTGTAGGTTAGGGAGTCGAGGTTGTAGGCTAGAGGGTATTATTGTACATTAATAATTTTTATAGAAAAATGACAGAAAATGGAAAGGATTAAAATGCGCATTATCTAACGGGTTTTTCTAACAGTTGTGAGAAAAGTGATCAAATCCAGACGTTTTTTTAAACCATGATGCCCATCTTATTATTTCAAAACTATAGGAGACGAGATGTACTTATAACCAATAAACCATAGGGACCATATTTGTAATTTAAGGGGTGTTTGGGATTGCTTATTTGAAACAACTTACGCTTTTCTATAAAAAACACTTATCAACTTATTATAAGTCATAAAAAATTAATTTTTTCAAAAACTTCTTATTACCGGTTTAGCATCGGTATAAGTTGTTTATCAAAACACTCAAAAATACTTATTACTGGTGTCACACTGAAATAARTCAATAAATTRTTTTTAGAAGCAATCCCAAACACCTTSTTATTCTTTTTCCTATTGGGTAACCTAAATACACACATCTACTGATTTGATTCATCGATTTTTAAATACATGATTTGATCAGATTTTAAAATAGAAATAAAAAAAAATAAAAAAAAAAGTTGCAAACCATTGGCGAGGTATTGAGTGGTGTCGGTTTCAAACAAAACATGAATTATGGTAATGGGTCCCATGTAGGGCCGCAAGCAATGATTAACCTCTGAAACCTTAACAGGTGTCAGCCGGAATCTATGGCTTCACCGTCACCGGCTACCGGTCAGCATCAAGACGTCCATCTCGGCATTAAAAATTGACCATTGATCCTGACCATATTAATTAAAAAAGGTAGCGATTTGTTTTTCAATAATAACCAATAAATCGAATCAAACAAAAAAGTAAAAGGCATCGGCAGCAAACCTCAATAATTTGAAGTCGACGCCGAATACCATGGGCAGTGCGCTAAGTCCAACAACTCCACCAATTTTCATCAGCTTCTCCTTATAAAGCTTTTCGATTCTCCATTTCTTGTAAGTTAGCCATGGCTACTGACAAGAGAAGACGGCCGGTGATCGGAAAACTGATCACTCCCGGACTYCGATCGGGTTTTCTGGAGGTGGGTACGAGCCCAACGACTCCTTTGGAGTTCAAAGTTCTGTCACCGAGAGGCTTGATACACTGTGATATGACTGGTATTGGACTTGGTATAGTCGCCGCCCTTGAAAATATTCCGGCCAAGAAACCCAATTTCAGCTGCCGGAACCCAATTGGATCCGACCCGATTGCCGTGAATCAGGCAAAGAGTGTTGGGGATTTGGAARTAGATAATGAAACAGGTAGCTTGGAGGAAGAAGAGTATACGATAGTTACTCGTCATAAAGCAAACAAATCTTATACAAAAGTCTACCATGGCGGATTTGTTACCAATCAAGGGATTGAAATCAGCCGGCGGGCCTGCATTTTTAACATATCGCCGGCAAGATTTTCCGATGATGTGAAGGTGTCTCAGACTTCTGGTTTTCTAAGTTCATGTTTCTTGTGTAACAAAAGACTTCATGGCAGAGATATATTCATGTACAGGTAAAGCTTGAATCCAAATCTTCGGTTTTCGATTAAAGATTTCTTGATCGGAATTCATATAACATGATCATGGTTGTTTCTGCAACAGGGGAGAGAGAGCTTTTTGTAGCCCAGAATGTAGGAGCAGGCAGATGGAGTTGGATGAGAAAAGAGAGAAAAATTGTAGCTCAGAAGCAGAATCTAAGTCTACTTCGAATGGCTGCCCTAATCACCAGATGTTCGCTACTGGGATTTACGCAATTTAGCCKGAAAACAAACCTGTGCTCGGTGTTCCGCCAAGAACCGTCATATGACYGCTGGCCGGACACCATATTAATACATGTAACACCCAATATTGTAATGGGTACGATGAATTTGTATGTTTATAACATAAGAGGAAGAGTAAAAAGTTTCTAAAACCACCATGTTCAAGAAATCAAGATTCTCTTTGTTTAATTCTTGAACTGGATGCTGTATATTCAGCTCATTCATATRTGAATATCGTCTTTAAACACCCAGAACAGGATGAATAACAGAAGAAAAAGGTTGCATTTTGTTCATTAGTTTGCCATTTAGATGACAGAAATACACATGCTAATGCTACATATATCCATATACATCCTCAAAGATTATATAATAATAATCAGAAAACAAGAATCCCAAATCTTTAATAAACTTTAAACAGTGGAAAAAGAAGAGCATCCTATCTAAGTAATTCTAGATATGGTTCCGAACCCGGTCGACCAATCTGTTTGAAACYGTTATTACTGGTAGTACATAGGGGCTTGCGTAGCGGCAATTCCGGGGTAACCACCATCRTAGATTGCTCCCTGGCTAGCGGCAGCACCCATCTGCTGATGCATCAGAGCCTGCAAACCACCCATTTTACTCAGTGCTAGCTGCCGTTCATAAGCTGCAAGATCCGTGGCTGAAAAACCTAGCATATTTCCRGTCATTGGCAGCGGTAGAGGGGTTGAGCTGCTCCCTGGAGGTGTCGGTTTGCTACCCCATGAACACTGTGTTGCACAAAAAAGTCGAATCAAATCATGTAAACCCCTTTGAGATTCCTATAAAGACTTCTAAATTGGCTTTCACAAATGTAAATACAACAAAWTCGGCTTTACAAAGACACCAAATATATCTAAAGGGTCTGTTACTCTGCAAACAGCTTAATGACCTTAATCRGACTTGGCTTGTTACTATACATGATCATTTGATAGTGACTTAACGATATAGAAAGTGGCTTATTTAGTAAAAGCCAAGTTTTTTTACAAACATGCACCTCCCAATTAAAAACATGCTTTTTTTGTCTACTAAAAAACCCTTCCAAACAAAAACTTTCTCAATCTATACAGATTAATCCACAGAGACAACTAATCCATACATAACTTAATGGAAAACCAACCAGATAACCCCTAAATGTCGTAATAGAGTGCTTTACAAGTCTTTTAAAAGTTTATAGAACCAAACAACTGTACATATTATGTAAAGGTGTTACAATATGTTGATATGAYGCTTTTGAGCATTCTATTAAGTTTTTAGGATACTTTTGAGATAAAGTGTACAATTAGTATTTTTATATAATATTATTCGAAAGGTTTCTTGTAAAAAGATGTGTTCATTTAACACTTCTAAAAAGTATCCTATAAAAAATACTAATAAAACACTTCATTTTAAAAGTTCCGAGAAAAACTTGCTAGGAAGCTCAAACACATCCTAACATCCTAATGTAACACCTTTATATACGACGCACAACAGTTYCGTCCTACAAAGCAGTCTATCAGGATATTTAGACATATTTGACATCCATAAATATACCTTCAGTGGCTTGCCATAGAGAATTCGAGTGTTTCCTAACTGAATAGCCCGGGCTGCCTCAGCATGAGAGCTGTATCTTATGAAACCAAAACCTTTATCWCGTTGAATGCGAACATCTTCAATAACACCAGCACCAAGGGCATGGAAATGGCAGTGGAGATCACCTGAGGTAACCTACAATATCATTTGTTCATTAGGAACCCTACCACATAAAATATATCATGCTCCGGGCCTATTTGTTAGCAGCTTAATGAGCTTAATGGGACTTGCAGCTTATTTGGTCAGCTATACATGACTGTTTGGTAGTGGCTTAATGATATAGAAAGTGGCTTGTCCAGTAAGCTTCTAGAGGGGAGCTTTATGCAGAAAGCCARATTTTTTTCTTCCAAACCTGCCCCTCCCAATTAAAAAACAMGCTCCTTCCATCTATGAAAGAACTTCCCAACCAAAAACCTTCCCCATCTATACCGACAGATTACTTCGCACAGACAGCTTTATCCATACAGAAAAAACCAACCAAACAGCCCCTCCCATGAGYAGAGGTCAAGTCTGCATACCCCCCAGACCCCACCTCCGGGTGGAATTTACTGGGCTCGTTTGGTTTGGTTTATCACGAAAAATGGTACAGAAAGGTCAAAGCTTTTGATAGAGAAAGTTGCCTTCTTATGGAATTATTGAATTGGATTTTCCTTGAGAATTTGTAATGCAAAAATAATGCTAACCTCTGGAGCCAGATTGCCAACATAAACAGTAGTATATTGAGGATTGTTTTCTGGAGCATCTTCATTCGTCTTTTCTTGACCATCATCTGCACAAAAATGTCGAAACGGATATATTAATATTATAACATCCATATGATAACTCGTCTGAACGTAATTCCAGTTCAGGTCATGCTGCTTGGTGAAGCTAGTTTTGCATAACGGKCATATCATACACTTTCGTGGGGTAATATAGGATCATTAAATAAACCAGAATGTTGGTGTTTTACGTTTTTYCAGAACTTTGTATATGAATTTCTAATGAACTATACCTGATGTTCCATTTGTCAATTCGACAACACTTTTGGCATCTGACCTCTGTTTGTCGTCCGAGCCAGCACCCTTTGCTGCCCAGTTGCATCGAATTTGCCTACTTCCAAGCCACTTTCCTACAATATAAACGATGAATAACTCAAAAAGAAATCCAGAATACATCTATTTTACAATCCCACACATGCTTCTTCAACAAAATGCAGCATCCAAAAGAAAAAACAGAACCTTTACAAAGCCACTTACAGTTATAGGAAAAAGACGACGATAAAATGATCACAGAAGTTACAAATTGATGGCCTTCTGATAACAAGAAAGAGAASAGGAATTAAGAGAACAGGTTATAAATCCTCACCATTCAAATCATTGATTGCACTTTGGGCATCCTGTTGAAGAAAATGGGAAGTAACGGAAAGTTAGCACCTTAAAAATGGAGGGATGGAGGCATAGAGTATTTTTCAATTCTGCATATCGTTAACTTTACCTGTTGGTTACGAAAAGAAACAAATCCAAATCCCCTCGAGCGGCCCGTCTTTTGATCCCACATAACTCTTGCATCACTTACCAATAAACAAAGATCAAATCAGTAGGAAAACTTGGGCTGTGAACAGACCGTTTTAATTTGAGTATAGTACAAGTTTTCTGAATAGAAACTTGGGCTTACGAGCAAGTAGGGTATGCAGAGAAGCAAGCAAACAATGTGGCATCGGTAACTTCAGGGCTAAGGTCACCTACAAATATGTTGAAATGGCCTGCAAAACCGAGGTAAAGATATCACAACCAGATAGCATCAGGAGGACGTCAGTGAACCAAATACGTACACATTAACATTACGTTAMCAAACCTGATGTATCTTCTCTCTGGCTACTGGCATATGCCCAATTGACTTTTATAGGCTGTCCGAATCTGCAAAATTTTATGTCGGCAAAAGCAATTGGTAAAGATAGAAAACAAGAAGGAAGGCAGACAGTGGTTGAGGTTTCGACTTACAGATGCCTTCCATTAAGAGTCACAATAGCAAGAGCTGCAAAACGCCGATCAAAGTAATCCACGAACCCATAAGATGACTGAAATCCAAGCAAAAATATGTCAATAATTATATTTATAAGATCATAGCAYGATGAAAATATAAACACTCCAGAGATGGAACAATTAGAAAATTGATGAAAATAACGATACCTTCTCCTTTCTAATGAGCTTGCATCCTTCAAGAGCACCAGTGCTTGAAAAAATCTCTTGAAGAAGGGGTTCCGTGACTTGTGGGTGGATGTTCCCCACATACCTACATCAAATCGGACACTATAAATGTTAGCATACAGCACCTAGTATACAAAGTGTTCTGTTATTAAATAAAAACGCAWTATGATCCAAACTTTGAGATAAACGATAAAGTAAAGAGAGTTTAGTGCAGATTAAACACGATACGAATGGAAGAGGAAAGAAATGAGAGATACTCACACACTGCGGCATGTAGTTGAATCGAATCCAGGAGGCAAATTTCCACTTAGTATAGGTTCTATCTGCACATACCATAACAAAAGTAGTTAAGAAAAATGGACCAAAATTACTAGAAAGCACATGGAAAATGGAGAAGATGAGAAATATACATATATTTATATAGGGACCTTTWGAGAACCCATGAAATGGTGATAACCTTGAGAACTAGTGCATCATGTGCTATTTATATGATTTTTTTTTCATCTAAGACTAGGACTTTGAATATCGATTAACATATATTTGTTTCACATGTATTCGATTCACAATGTGAACAAATTGACGTGTTTGTGAAACAAAAAATACATAAAAATTTCACATTGTGAAACGAATACATATGAAACAAACACATTGTGAAACAAATATATGTTAATCAATACATTAAATACTATTCATAGATGGAAAAAAAATCATGTGAAACAAACCTTAAGGTAGAAGTTCTCATGTATCTCACAAATTTTGAAGTTCTCAAATGATTAAGCCCCTATATATAGGGTCGGGTTCCGTGAGAAGGAGAGTTAAGGTGAGAAGGGATCTCCACCCTTGGATGCACACTAGGATGAGATGCACCAAGATAAGATGCACCGGATCAGTCACCGTATCAAGCGCGATTTATAGGTGGGTTTGAGATTAAAGGTGATCAAGGATCCAGATCTCTTCTTACGCTTCTCAACTTAACTCTCCTTCTCACGATCCTTCGCCTATATATATATATACACACACACACACACACACATATATATATGTATATATATATGTATATATATGTATACATACTGAGGGAGGTTTAGGGGAGAACACTCAAAAGAAAATGAAAAACTGAAGAACACCCAGGTAACTTTTCATCTGTACCATATGCRCATGTGCATACAAGTAATTGCAGTTGTTTTTTGGTTTCTATGCATGTGTGCATGTTATGCACATGTGCATACCGGACAAATTGKTTACAAATTACTTGTATGCACATGTACAAATCATCCAGATGAATGGTTACCAATGTGTTCCTCAWTTTTTCATTTTGTGGTTTTCCCGAACATGACCATATCTATATATACATATATATAGGGTTGGGTTCCGGTGAGAATGGAAGTTATGGMGAGAAGGGTAAGAAGGGATCTCCACCCTTGGATCAATCCCAATTGAAGATCAATAGTAATGAGATGCACTGAGATGCACCGGATCAATTCCCGTGAGAAGCATAATTAATAGGGTGGGGGTGATATTAAAAGTGATCAAGGGTCCAAATCCCTTCTTATGCTTCTTACTTTAACTCTTATTCTTACACGATCCTTCGTGTATATATATATATATAGGTGAAGGATCGTGTGAGAAAAAAAGTTGGCCTCTATCCCAAAAGAKAAGTGGTTCTTTYCATTTTCATCCACAAAAGCGCCATACAATATATAAATAAAAGCAATCACCAATTGTAGTAGTTCTAAGGGAAAGAAGTGACATATAACATGAAAAGATTGATGTCAAAATCGCATGTTCGTGAAGCAAATGATGCAAATCTTATTAGCAAATGATGAAAAGATTGGTGTACCACTCTATATCAGCAAATCAAATGTATTATATGATCCTGTAGATCTAATTTTGTGTCATGTTTACATAAATTATCAACRGCCACATGAATATGTAGGTGCTTCTTGTAGATAGTGAATTCATAAAGAACTAACGGGGCAAGACAGCCTCTAACTATTAATACAAGTACATTTTGGTATAACTTCTTGTGTTTTATACTAAACTTTTTGCGAAAAGTTGAAACACATATACAATTCAAATCACCTAGGAAACAGTTGCTATACTCTTTGAGGCCAAGAACAGGCTTGCATACATCTCAGTATCTCACCCCTGCTTTCAAATGGGATATAGTGGTTCGTTTGTTAGGCTTAATTCGATTCAAAATTCAGAAAAATAATATAAGAATCTTCTGAGTTGATTCACAAATTGACAACTATGGTAGAGAATATTGCTATAAAGCTCATACATATCAACATTAAGACAATACAGACAGCTATACATGACCATTTGGCAGTGGCTTAGTGATATAGAAAGTGGCTTGTCCTGTAAGCTTCTAGGGGGAAAGAAGCATGCAAAAAGCCAAGTTTTTAAAAAAACCTACCATTCCAAATTAAAAAACATGCCCATTCCATTTATGTAAAACTGTCCCAAACAAAAACCTGCTCATATTAATCCACACAGACAGCTTCATTCATACATGACTTAATGAAAAATCAACCAAACAGCAACTAAGTTCACCTAAGATTAAGCCCAGCAATGATGCCAACAGGGAAATCAGTTTTAAGCATTAGAAACCCAAAATCCAAAAAGGACCAACTTCTTACAGACAACAAGAACTCCACCGACAGTGATGCAAATTTTGCACAATATACAAAACCGGAGCTTCTCACGGGAAAAAGAATCTCCGGCGTAGATGTAAACTCAACACCCACAAAAAAGGAAACAACTTTGAGACATAAAGTCGAATTAGAAGGCAAGAAAGCAAGAAAAAAGCGAATGAATTCACCTGAGGATGAGCCAATAGACCTGGGTGATAAAGGGATTGCTGCATCAGTGCTTGTTGTTGTCTTATCCTCTGCTGCTGCTGCTGCTGTATCATCTTCCGATAGATATAGATAACAGTGTATAGAGATAGAAAGCAAAACTAGGGTTTTGTTTAAGCAAGAAACAAAGAGAGAGGGAAAGGAAAAAAATAAAAGAAAAAGAAAAAAGAAAAGAAAAGCAGAGAGTAGAAGAATGGAGGGATGGTGGTGTTATTATGTCTACTGTCAGATCTTCCAAAGGACATTGTCTTCTCTACACTCATTCGTTCGTTGATTTTGGTGTCTCATTTGCCTCACAACCGTTGGATCTTTTCTTTTAATTACTCCAAGATTTGCCATCTTTTGTTTACTCTCCTAAGACAAGTTTCACATTTAAATTAGAATCAATTTTTTGGTTGATGGGTTTTGAATTTAAAATCGAAATGAACATAAAAATGCGACAAATGAAGCCGAGGAAATCTCAAGAATCGTTTTGAGCGTTTTGATGAACAAGTTTAAAAGATCCTTAATTTAGCATGGATCGTTGATTAGCCCTTGTGTCTCTTTTTCTTAGTTCGCCAATTTGGGTCTTCTTAAGACCACCAAAGATCTTCCTAGTTGTTATTGATAGACTACAAGATCTTATGTGTAAGACTCGGATTATTCGGTAAGTTCGGTTATACTCACAGAATGAAAATTCAGCATTCATCCGCCATGAATAAAACTATCCGACCGTAAAAAAAACTCCTCGAGCGTGAAAATTGGACAGATTCTGGGCCAAAATCCATATTAACCCTGATTTTTCTCTCATTCTTTCTCATCTCCTAACTCATTTTTCTCTCAACCAAAATCGGTTCAAACACTTACATTCCACCCAATCGATTTTCTTAGGGGTTGTTTATTTACCTCTTAATAGTTCCATTAAGAGACAATATCTGAATCGTTAAGAGGTGAATCTTGTTTGGCAAAAAAAAGTATGTAACTTAATGGTTTCAAAACTCTTTGAATGATTTTGTATCTCATAAACTATGTACATGTCAAAATGTATATTTTTAAGTATTATTGTGGTTTATATGATGTTTATCAAATGTGTTGAGTAGTTGACAACGTTTATGTATTTGGTAAAATTAGGGTTAATAAATCTTGTAAAATGCCTATGTTCTGGTGTTTGGACATTGTGATGAATAAATTAAGAATGTATTCTTTTGGTGATTTATCGTACAAATGGAGACTATTTGATATTAATGCATTTTAGTGTATTTGGTTTTATAAACCGTTTGGAAAATGCATATTATTGTGTTATGAGACATTTTGGAATACGAGTGTATGATTTCATTTGGAAAATATTTCGTCTCAACCAATAATGAGTTTTTGAGTTAATCATGTACCGGGACCGGGAGCATCTATTTGCATAAGCATCGGTTAAATATGTTTCATTGCTTTTGACTTTTATTGTATAATCAATTGAGTTGTTGAGCTTTTGGCTCGGGTTTGACTTAGATGAGTCTTGGAACTTTTGTCCGATTTATTTTTTATGTGTCGAGCTTTTGAGTTACATGCAATTATAACATATTCATTGAAAATATTACATGTATTGAGTGCGTGATCATTCATTCGGAGTCGTGTAATTTAGACAATTCATCAGCCAAATTAACATAACAATTAGTTTTTTTTTGCAGGTAATCCGGAGTCACCGCATTTGAACCTCCGTGGCCACAAGGAGATTTTTGTTCCTCCTTGGATTTGAACCTGGGACCTCCTGACACTTTTGACCTTTGGAGTCAAGCTCAAACCAATCAGGTACCATCCTTGTGGTTATAACAATTAGTTTACTAAACATAACCTTTGATTTTTTTTTTTTTTTTCTAAATTAACAGTATACTTCAAATCACTAACAAAGTTCGGGACCATATCATTTTCCGAAACAAACATAATATTTTTTACATTATTTTCTTTGACAAATAAACCCACCATTGTTGACGTTTTCCATAATTTTCCGTACGCCTTTTCGAGGCAGTAGTCCTAGAGATAGTACTCTTTTCTGTACAAATTTTCAAATATAAAGTAAATATCCGTATCTCATTCATAAAACTCAGTACTTAAATCCAACAAGTTACATAATTTTTGTATCTTTTAACTTTTTACGGAAAATTTGTCCGACGAATTAAACCTCACTTACACTGATCATTTCAAATTATTATGATTATTAACTAAATCTTGAAATTAATTTTAAGCATGGAATAAAGCATATATCGTTTTCTTAATCCAGCAAACCATCGTCTTACCCTTTTTTTAATACAAGAAGAAATTGATGATTAATCAAACACGTAACTGATATTCTTCTTTAATTCCTTAATTAATTTATATTCTTTAATTCCTTAATTAAATGAAATTCTTTAATTCCTTTTTGGAACACCAATCCAATCAAGAATTATCCAACACCCAACATTCACCATCCAATTTGGTTTTCCCAACCACATGTTGCATATGTTTTGGTGCAAAAGTTGTATCCAAAAGACATGGAAAACAATAAGATTTATATATATATATATATCATATCATATGAGATGGAAAAATATTACTATACATCTTTCATGATGATGAAAAGATGCAAAAACAGGTTAGAGATTCTGTAGTTAACACGGACGTCCGTAAAAAAAGAACAATAATTAAGAACACCATCATAGATCCTAAACGTATATCGATATATGGGATGGTTAACATGCTACGATCGGGGTTGAAACTGGACTTCAGATTGTGCACCAAGTCCCAACCATGTTTTGCTGTCTTCTTGCTTTGGAGCACCTTCCATTTGGTATGGCGATCGAGCTGTGATTCTGTCATATTTTCACAAAACAAAACAAGCCCTTTTTCATTAGAATCCCATAAATCAAACTGGTGTTGAAATCAATGAAATGGGTGTTTGATTTTGTTGGTTAATTACCTGTCTTTTCTCTTCTCCAAGAATCTAGCGAGTGAAGCTTTTCTTGCAATTGGTAGATCTGAACCAGAAGCAATTGGTAGACCAGTTTTGTTGGAAGGTTCTTCTGGTTTTGGGGTGGCAATGGAGGACGATGAGAAGGTGGTGGGTTTATGGGGAATCCCTTTTTCAGCCAACATCATGATCTCCTTCACTTTTTCAGGAGTTAAATCATTGAACACCATGACCTGACCATCGTAGAATATAGTCATGGATCTTGATTGATCTTGCTGTTTCTGGGTGGCGAGGCGTGGGGTTTCCGTCATCGGGAACAGATTCATGGTGGCAGTGCTTGGTGATGTTACCCTCCTACCTGAAAACGGAAAACACGATCAGAAACAGTGACAGATGAACAAGAAAAAGTTCAAGATTTTGATGATCAAAAATCAACTAACATACCGAGGGTTAGATCAGGGAAAGCGTTTTCCTTCAAGTACTGAGAGAAAAGGTTACAAGTGTGGGAGAAATTGGACTTCTCCGGCGCTCTATTTTGGCCGGAAAATCTACCGGAATCCACAATTTCCGACGAGGTAGACATGATAATATCAAGAAAAGATGGTTGAATGAATGTGAAATGAATTGGGGGAAGGGGGATTCACAGGATTATGAGATATATAGTAAGGGAGGGGGGAAGGAGTCGTGTTGAAGGCAACTTCCAAGAACCCACCTTGTCCCCTCTTTCAATATTATTCTTCAAGAAAATCTTGAAATTGTTTACCACGTGCTTCAAAAGCTTTGTGTATTTCCGATTTTGCCCTTTGAGAATTTGGTTTTAAAGGGTCAAAAGAGGGTAGCTTTGATTAATAAAATGGGCATCCACACATGTCTAAAAATGGAATTAAAAAATGGGTGTTTGGAAAAGTGTGGAAATTGCCGTCCAACACCACCACCCACCACCCACATGGGAAGTGACGCCAAAAACACGTTCCTAATTACCATCTATTCCAATCACCAGTCTTTGCTTGACACGTTGCACCGTGTGGACCCACGCGCTATGTATATTATATATATAAAATGTAAAGTAGTAATAGTGAATCTTTTGCTTTTAACATTTGACCATAACACATGTCTCTTTGCTATTAAACTAGTACAATTAGCCTTTGAGGGTATCAATGCTTTTTTTTTTATTAACCTGCTTTACGGGTATTTCGGAGTCATGATATTTATTTCATCTTTTAATATGAGATAAGAATATAGCAAGGATTAAGAATCTTACCAATAAGCAAGTGTAAAAATGTTATTTATTAAGACAAGTAAGGATGATAACATTTACCAATAGATACTTACTTGATAAATATTTGGTAAACAACCCTAAAGAGTTGATTGGAAGTGGCTTAATGAGCTTAATACATAAATAGATTGTTCGGTAAGTTTTACATGTTCGTTTATTTGTTCAGACTGTCTGAATAGAAAGATTTGAAAAAACCGATTAAAATATGGAAAGTTGGTCTGATAGAATGGGTTTAGTTATGTGTTAGGTGGTGTTGTTGACTTCTTGTAATTTAAGTAAATTGTTTACTTCTTTATTTTACTTCTTCATGGGTCAATGGTCTCATTTTTCATTCCATCACGTTTATTTGTCTCTATTATTATTTAAATTAAATATGCTAAATTGTTTTAAATTAAGAATTATAAATAATCTTTTATGTTATTTAATCTGTTTATTCAACATAAATGTCGGAGCACACAACTCTCTTAGGGCTGTTTGGCGGTTGCTGATCATAATGATTAAAAGGCTCTTATAATATAATGCAAAATGAAATATATTTGTTTGGTAATTATTCAGAATGAAATTAGGGTGCTGAATGGTTAATGGAGGTTTAAGATACAAAATCATTCAAAGAGTTTTAGAACCATTAAAAGACGGACTTTATTTTTTACCAAATAAGATTCACCTCTCAACGATTCAAAAAAACTTCTATTATACAGTAGATATTTGATGAGAAAACAAGTAAAAGGAGGCCTATTTTGAACAACATTCATTTATACATGATAACAACAATATAAACAAGTATTCCAAATGCAAAATTAAGACCAACATTAAACCACCAAACCTCCTCCTATATCAACAACATTCCTACAGTAGAAAGAAATAAGACCATTCAGACTCTTCTGAATGACCAACACAACAAGAAACCATCATTCAGATCAGATATCATAATCTATATCAGAAGCATTTTCAGATACAGACTTCTTCACAAGCCGTCCTTGTTCATCATAAAGATCAAGATTCTCGCACGGTTTTGGGAATATGCTCCCGATCACCCGTCCGTTCACATAAGCACACTGGAATATATGTTTCTTCTTGTACGTGATTCCTACCGACATATCCCTGAACGTCACGTTCCTCACCCGAATGTCTGCACTTCCATGGATCCTAACGGGCACTCGCACTCCTTCGCCGTGGATAGAGCTGTAGCTTATGCCTCTGATCACAGGGAACGCTTTTGGGTCAAAACCGCTATCTGGGTGCTCGTTGTAATCGGTTTTGATGATGATACCTACCCTCACGTTCTCAAATGTTAGATTCCGATACGTGATGTCTCGGATGTACGCCCCTCGACCTGCGGCTGTCTTGATTCGGACAGCACGTCTTGAGTTCCACACTAGAACGTTCTCCACCGTCACGTTAGATATCCCGCCGGACATTTCACTGCCTATTGATATTCCAGCACTGTCAAAGCTCCCCAAACATGGATCCATATTAGAATCCCATCAATTAGCATCAACTACTTCAAGAAAAACAAATTTCAGGCTAGGTGCCACTCTACTTTTTGAGGGTCGAGGTCAGGTTTGTGTATATCTCACCCTATGCCTACAGGTGGGATTAACTGGACTTGTTTGGTTTGGTTTAGGCTAGGTGGAACGAGATTAGAGATGCACAAGGCCCGGGCTTCAATCCCATTTTTCAGTAACAAAAAAAGCCCGGGCTTTTATAGGCTAGGCTTTGTGGTTGAAAGAGGGCTTGATCGGGTTTTTTCAGGCTGGGCTTTTGCGGACCACGCTTTAACTGAACCTTGCAAAAAAGTTGGCCTGCTCGGGCTTTAAGGCCGGGCCCAGGCTTCAATCGAGTTTTCGGTAAGAAAAAAAGCTCGGGCTTTTCGGTCCCAGGCCAGGCGTGGGGGTTGAAAGAGGGCCTGATCAGGTTTTTTCAGGCTGCGCTTTTACAGACCACTCTTTAACTGGGCCTTGAAAAAAAGTTGGCCTGATCGGGCTTGGGTTTACTAGGTACAGGCTTTTTCAGGCTGGGCCTCGGCTTGGGCTCTTTTGTGCATCTCTAAACATGATGCACACAGATCATACCCACGATCACAAAATAGACTTAGCGAAACAAATTTCAGGCTAGGTGGAACAGGATGCACACAAATCATACCCACATTCCCAAAAAATTTGGTGGGAGGATTTTTTTTTTTGGTAAGCGTAGGTGTCCGTACCAACTTGCACACACCTTACATATGTGTAAACAATTATCACGAGTTTTGACCATAAAAGATTGAACAAATCGCAAGGAGATCTCACCTCACCATAGAGCGAACTACAAGGTTTCGGATAAGAATATTTTTTGACGGTCGACCATACGCAACACCATATTGATCCCAACCACTTTTTATGGCAATGGCGTCATCACCCACGCTTATGTAGCTGTCCTCTATCACCATATCTTCGCATGAATCTATTTAAACAATAAACCAAGATATAACAAGTGAAGGAGAACCGGAAAAAAAACTGAGATTATATAGAACTCATGAGAAAGATTATAATTTTAATAGATAGATTTGATGGCAAAGGGTTTTCAATTATATACTGTTGCTTATAGATCAATGGCTGAACAGATCGAAAAACATAAGAAAATGTAAATAACATGAAATGAAAAGAAATACACTTACCGGGATCTATACCATCTGTATTTGGAGCCTCGAAAAGGGGAGCCAAAATTGTCATATTTCTTATGGTTACATTCTTACAATCATACGGATGGAGTGTCCAAAAAGGTGAATCACGTAAAGTAATATTAGATATTAGAATGTCACTTGAGTACATGATCTGCACAAGCGGGCCTCTTGTATGGTTAAGAAGCTTTTGACGATACTTTTTCCACCATGTTTGACCCTGCCCATCAATCGTACCATTATTCCCTGTTGTCAGGATTAACAAAGATATAATCAGCTAAAAAATGTAGGGCCTGTTTGTTAGCAGCTTAATGAGCTTAACGAGACTCACAACTTATTCGGTCATCTATACATGACTGTTTGGTAGTGACTTAATGATACATAAAGTGGCTTATTCCGTAAGCTTTCAGGGGGAAGCTTTATGCAGGAAGCCAAGTTTTTAGTCAAACATGCCCCTCCCAATTTAAAAACACGCTCCTTCCCATTTATGAGAAAACCCTTCCAAACAAAAACCTTTCCGATCCATACAAACAGATTAATCCATACAGGACTTAAAGAAAAACAACCAAACAGCCCCGTAGTCTCCCCATAAACCAAATAAAACCAGTGAATACCACATGGAGTAGGGTCTGGGGAGGGTAGGATGTCGAAAATTTTACCTCTACCCTGAGGGGTAGAGAGGCTGTTTCCATGACCCCTATGTCTCCCCATCATTCTTTTAAATTCTTGAACAAAGACATTGTGATAAACTGATATCATTAAGTAAAACACCTTTGCTGAAGAAAAAACCCAATTAAGGGGGCTATGAACAAGTAGGCTGGTATAATAGAAGCTACGGTGTCTATGCATCAGAAGTACTGACCTGTGATCACGACATCTTTCAGGTTTTCACCATGAATCAAACTCCCGTATCGGGGTCCAGGATGCTCTCTACCATAACCATAAGAAGGCAAAGGAGGCATCAAAGGCCAAAACTTTTCATCCTGTTAAAACAAAATAAAGATAACTGAGCCACAATCATAATAAAGAACTATGGCAACTTAACAGAAGACATCCCACAAAGCCTCAAAGTACATAACCCATGTTATATATATATATATGTGTGTGTGTGTGTGTGTGTGTATGTCTCAACAGCAGTAACACAATGATAACGGGCCTTTACATCCAAAGTAGTTGACGCAGGCTAAAGTTGAAACTCGAGAAATTAAAGAGTAGAAACCCAATGGGCTATTGAGCGTGAATAGCATCCTCCCACATGCTCTTATCAACATCACTGTTCAAAACATCATAAGAATAATTTCTTTCCAACTAGATACACGCTTTCCAAACACGCATCCAAGCACCCCTTTAGTACACTAAATACATGGCCGGTCTCATTTTACATGAGGGTTTTTTTTCATTTCTTAGATCTCAATGAATGAGCAATAAGAGTATCATTAGTGACGTAAACAATAGGGAGAGAGAACAAAAGCATCTCAAAGCCATGTTACTTCTCTAATTCATCTGCAATATCCAGACATTTATCCTTTTGCAGAATCAACTAATGTAAGCTCAAAATGCAAAATATGGTAACTAGTTAAGAAGACACAGGTAAAATTAATCATGATTCCCATCTCATAAGACATTCACATTTTTGAATTAAATCATTATGCATCTGTAATCAGAAATTACGGGTTTGTCCTTTTAGAAAGAAACTTAAAATACAACAGGTTGAGAATTATAATTATTTATTTGCACGGATACAATCTTTTCACCGTAGTTTAAGCATCAAGATTCTAGATTGCAGAGCCCCAACTAAACACCAATAAAGGTTCATCAAGCATAAGCCAAAGGTAAACTCAGAAATTTGATCATGTATAACAATTTCATCGTCTATTGTAAACTCAAGTTAGCCCAGATGGTACAATCTACAAGACCTTTGCAGCCTTTTGGTGTTCAAAATCATCATTTGGACCCCTCCTATTAATGTTGGATTTCATATGCATTGTTGCAGGATGACAAGTAATGGTGGTCTTTATTGAAGGCTTGAAGAAAAAATCATTTGTAATGTCATACAATTGAAGCCCTGCAATATGCTCTAATGGGTCACTTGRATATAGGATATAGTCTTCACGAAAACAATTCTACTCTTCAAGATAGAGGTCAGCCTACATCCCAATCCCAACCCCGCCCCCCCTTCTCCCAGACCCCACCTCAAGGTGGGACATATTGGGCTAGTTTCATTTGGTCCAAGTACAAGTACAACATACCAAAGCACTTCATTTACAAAGGATGTCATATGCTCACTTGTGCCTAGTGCCTAGTGCATAGAGTTCCTCATGGTTCAATGTCTTCCTCCAACCGATCGTGTCCTTGGTCTTTCCCCTAACTCATCGGTGCCTAATTATTTTCAACAGGACATAAATTAGGCATGACATGCCAGAACCACAAGGCCTTGGAAGTCTAATTATGATTATTATTAACAGAAGTATTTAGATAATATAAAACCTTCAATTTAAGAAAAACTCCATCTAGTCATCTTGGGGATTTAGTATAATACTAGGTTGCCTAGGAAGCGATTAGATTCCTTGTCTTTCCAGTTTCTATTATGACAAAATATATTGAGTTATATTGCAATCGCTTAAAGCATCTTCTTCCCCTCTTTGCTTCTTCACGTCTTCACGCTTCTCTTCTTGCCATTCTTTGTTCTTCTACCCTCTTCTCCATCAGAACACATGAAAAAAGAATCCGAAAGATAACATATAGGCTTTCTAGTTTCTACAAGCAACACCAACCGACTGACCAATAGCCTATTCCCAATTAACATCAATTCTTACTTGGTGAAAACCCACAAGGCTCTACACAAAACCAAGATTCACATAATATAATCAAACCTCAATATTTCATCCACTACAATTCCATTCAACACCCAATCCAAATCAATCAGATCTAAAAACCATCATAGAAACCAAAGTTTGCCAGCTCAGTTAACATTTGATGTATGTATATCTGTGTATATTTGGCTCAGATTATTGGTTATTGTGGTATACCAAAGCACTTATAATGTATTTTAAGTGATTCCCAATTCTCCTCCAGCCCTTGCCCTAGATTTTGAATGTTAATTTGGTATAAGATGCATCATCCATAAGAATTTCTAGCACTTGCAGAGTATTGAATTGAATAAGAAAAAGATTTCTAGAACACTTACATCTAGACCAAGTATAACAGCACCTTCAGCAAGAAACAGTGTCATATAACTTGTCAAATTAAACGGCGCCGTCAACCATTTTCCGGCAGGGACATTGAGCTGACCACCACCTTTCTTCCCTAGCTTAGAGATGGCAAAAACAGCCTTCTCGAAAGCCAAGGTATTAACGGTGACACCATCTCCAACAGCTCCGAAATCGGTGAGATTAAATGCGACGGGTCGGAGGCGAGGCAATGGACGAACGAGAAGAGGTCGCCGGAAAATCGATAACCCATCAACGAAGTTGCGTTGCCAGATGAATAGCGATGTGAAAACCACGATCCAAAGGAATGCGAAGAGGGTCTTGTAGGAAGAGGAGAGATTTGGAATCCAACGGCGGTGGTTGAATCGCCAGATGGAGGGCGAAGAAGTTAGGGTTTCCACCATAATAGTGTAAGCTAAAACCGGTCTAATGAGGTAAAACGATGATGGGTGAAGGGAGATGGAGTAGAATACATGAATATGGGGGGGAATTGAAGAGGGTTTGGTGGTTTAGAAGGTGGTTGTGACGTCCATTGGGTCAGGTTCAGTAGCAGTTGTTGGATTTTGATTTTGGGGGAGAATGGAGTGCGTGGGAAGGGACGATGCTGCGTCAGACACAAATCAAACAACATGACTCCATTTCTGTGATCATTTAAAGCAACCAAATTACAATCGATTTGATGATATCTTTTCATATTTACTTGCAGCAGTAAATTACAAGAATCGTCCAACCCACGTGTCTTGATGGAACTTTTCTCGTAAAAATCGAAACTTTACTAAAAATGCAATTCAAAATATTTGTCCCTAACCAATCTTTAAGCCATTTCAATACACAGCAGGTTTAACTTCGAACCCTACAATCTTTAAGCCGTATGAATTCTTCACTTTGTATTCAAGATTTGAGCAGAAAGTTGATTATCAGTGAGATGGATTTGATTATAATCAACTTTTTGCTCAAATCTTGAATACAAATTAAAACCACCACCAAATTATAACAACTACTGTAATACTTTAAATAGGAATTATTAGACTCTGAAAACAAAGTCTTCTTAATGGTGTATTTGATAGCTTAACTAATCTTGAAAATCCCAACCACCACATAAAAGATCATGAACCAAACACGAGCATAGCCGAAACTTACTGCTTTTCAAGGTTACACCGTAATTAGTACATATTTAAGATTGTTGGTGAAATAGGTCTTTTTTACAAAACCCGGTGCTTTAACCAAAAAAAGAGAGAAAACTATGTTTGATGTAACTGTTGTGTCCATGACAACCTAAATTGCTCGATAAAGACGACTATGGTTGGCATGTGCTTTGAACGTATTTCCTAACGATCCGATTGTTTATGTTTAGTTCAACAACATTTGAATTTCGTATTCCTTATGGTCTTTTGTTTACAATAGTGTGCACAAATAATGAAGAAATCAAAATTTGACGGACGACAAGTCTTAATATAGATATAGTTTTTGAAATATGAAACGCGTAGAAAATAAGGTTTCAGAATCAAGATTGAAAATCTTAAATCCCAACTCGAGTTTTCTAATGATGTATAACGTCGGAGGTTGTTTCTTTGGAGTTATTAGGTTCTTAGATATTTGATTTACATAGAATTGTAGAAAGTTGGTTAAAGTGATGTTATCATTAGTGTGACGTTAGATTGTAATTATTGTTATTGTAGTGTCTATCAAGACAATCTTCATTCTAAGCATCGTATGTGATTCGTTGTTCATTATGTCCAATAGTTCCATATAAATTTCGTATGGTTATGATTTTGTTTCTCATGACATCAATCAACAACGCAACTTAATGGTGCACTTAACGGTTACTTTAACTTTCAAAACTAAATAATTATCAAATTGAATTTAGGTTTTTCTATTGATAAAACAAAAACGATATCCACGTATTTGACATAAAAGGCTTAAAACCAACGTTAGGTATGTTGTCATGTTTGAAAGCGGAAGGAGGATGGGAGCAATTCAAGCGTCATATTCTCAAAATCGTTTTTATTGATATAATAAGTTTTTAATTAAACAAAACATATATAAAAACACAAACCCATATTGAGATACTATTTTTTTTCTAGCTTTTTAACCGAAATCATCAAAATATCGATCAATCGATCTTTAAAAGAGAATAATTTTAAAAGTTATATTCACATGTGATGAGAACATCCATGGCTTGTTTGGTATAAATAACATGTTACATGTAAATTCATACTTTGCATGATTATTCACGAACATATTCATATATAGATATAGTTACTATGAGCAGTTTCCATCACGTGAATAATATCCCTCATGAATACATTCACATGTGAATAACCATTTGTGGGCTCTCTTTAGTGGAAGCCCAAGTCCAAAATATACCCATGACTTGAATATACAAAGCACCCAAGAACCATATCCACACACGTGACATCATTGGTCATCTTCTTCTTCAATCTCTAATCCTATTCATCCACTCCATTTGCCATCGCCATTGCTGATGAACACAATCTCCATGACTTTCACTATTGCTTCCACCTCCCATTCATCCCTTCCAACTAGGTCACACACACACACACACACACACTCTCTCTCTCTCTCTATATATATATATATTATGTATATATATCTCACACACACATTGACTGATTCACACATCTTTCCATGGCAGGAGAGAGTCTGCCAAGAAATTACGTTCTGCCGGAAGAAATGCTACTCCAAGCTTCTTGTTCAGAAGCAGCAGCCATGGCTTAAAGTTTCAGGCAACCAAAGGAGGTGTATCAAGTGTTTGTGAACCACTTCCTGCTGACAGACCTTTATGGTTCCCGGGAAGCTCTCCTCCTGAATGGCTCGATGGCAGGTCCATTCTTTTCTCCATTAGCTTCAGTTCCATACATAATCAAGAATTCAAGAAACCCCCTTAATCAATCTTCTGTTCTTGATTCAATTTAGCCTTCCTGGAGATTTTGGGTTCGACCCACTTGGATTAGGTACGCAGATTTCAATGGGGTTTCTTCTTTTCATATGAATCTGCCAAATCTTTAAAGAAAGATTGCTCCTTTTTTATAGGATCTGATCCAGAATTACTCAAATGGTTTGCTCAAGCTGAGCTGATGCACAGCAGATGGGCAATGCTGGCAGTTGCTGGTATTCTCATCCCTGAATGGCTCGAAAGCCTGGGGTTCATTGAAAACTTCTCATGGTTCGATGCTGGCTCAAGAGAATACTTTACTGACCCAACCACCTTATTCGTGGTGCAATTAGCCTTGATGGGTTGGGTCGAGGGTCGAAGATGGGCCGATATAATCAACCCAGGGTGCGTTGACATCGAGCCTGATTTGCCTAACAAGAAGAAACCAAAGCCCGATGTTGGGTACCCTGGTGGGTTGTGGTTCGACCCGTTCATGTGGGGAAGAGGGTCCCCCGAACCAGTGATGGTTCTGAGGACCAAGGAAATAAAGAACGGTCGGCTGGCAATGCTGGCTTTTGCGGGTTTTGTGTTCCAAGCCATTTACACCGGCCAAGGCCCCGTCGAGAATTTGGTGGCTCATCTTGCTGATCCCGGCCACGTTAACATTTTCTCGGTACGTGCCTTCTCTTTCTTTTTCGTAACGGTTTGTGTAAGATCGATGTTTCTGATTTGGTTTTTGTGTCGATTTTCAGGCCTTCACCTCCCAAATTCGATGATCGATGACTTCGTTACAAGGCTTCCTTCAATCTACAGCGTTTATGAACTTGTACAAGATTTGTGTTTCGTTAGATTTAACCAAATAGTTAAATCTTGTTCAAATGAAATCTTATATTTGTACATGACCCGAGCAAGCAAACAATATGTATGTGATCTTTGGTCTCCTAGAAGATCAGGGGTTCAAACTTTACTAAAGATGAGAGTGTGAGTTTATTTGTCCTAGGAGGTCAGGGGTTCAAACCTCACCAAAGTTTCAACCCGACTAAGCCAACCAATCTGTACGGTTTGGGTTGTAGTTTTGCTTGGGTTAGGTTGAGTTGAGATTTTTCAAACCGCAAACATTGGGTTGAATTATTCAAATGTCTTCAATCCGGCCAACTCAACCCATGTGCAACTCTAGTATAATATCGTGTGTGTTAGGTTTATGATATTCTGAGTCTGAAACTTTAAAAAGGTGTATGAATGCATTCGATTATCAGTTCCACATGAACCTGCCTTTAAGGACATCAATATGAGAGGACATTTTTTTAGCTCACTCAACAACTGGGACTAACCGAAAAAGTTGGGATCCAATTTGGTACCCGTTTTATATTTGTGACAAGTTTCATATCAAATGAGTCATTTTTGTAATTATACCACTATTATATTTAATATTACATTAAATTATTTAATTCGAATTAAATTAACTCCATGTCTTATCGTTGACTTTCAAACGAGAGAGTTAAAGTAGTAGTTGGTTCCTTGGTTCTGACTTTTCTTTCCCATCTTTCTTACGAAATTGGCTTTTTGGAGGGAAAGAAGAGAATCTGTTGAGCTATGGTTTATCCTCTTCGTCAGCTTTGTCTGGTTTGGATCGTGCTTTCTTTTTGCCATGCTAATGGCCATGGCTTTCGACTAAAGGCATCAGAAATTATGGCCAAGTTGGATCTGAAACCAAACCCAGAAGGTGGGTTTTACGCAGAGACGTTCAGAGATACTTCTATCTCCCTATCCACTTCTCAACTTCCCCCCAGATGTGAGTAATTAATTAAACTACGGTATTCTTGTTTTTAAAGATGACATCTTTATATTGCCATCAAAGATTCATATATGCTATCTTTAATCACAAATTATTTACTTTCAGAAGCTGTAGATGAATCCACCTCCACCAGGTGTTTGTTTATATGCCTAACCCAATAATCGAAGTTAGTTTCATAATGAATTGTGAAACTTGCTAAGCAGAAGTGGCTATGTAATTTGCTAGAGGGCCATGTCGGTTAGACTTGGATCAATTCTCCTCTGCAATTTCTTCTTTCCTCATGGACTTTTTTCGAGAGTAATTATTAAGGGATTTAGAGGCAACCTCTATCACTCTAGGACAATCCCATCTAGCCTTCATTAGAGGAGGCATGTTCTGGTAGAAATTGAGATTGCTGTAAAGTAAGCTGGCAGATGGTTTGATTTGATGGAAGTTAAAATCTTGATCCTCTTGTTCTTAAGCCAACAGATCTTTGGCTTCTTGAAGATCCTGCAGGCATTTCTGCAATTCACTTAAAAGCAAATCTTTTTCATATCATTTGCAAGAACCCAATTTGCTCACATTCTGACCAGTTGCAACTACATCGACTCTAAAACTTATCGAACCAGCAGCACCAGTTGCCCAGTTTAGGTGCAGGAACTTATCGAGCCAACTACTTTCATTAGTACAACAGACATTTCCAACATATCTCATCATCTTTTTCTGTTATATGCTCTTTTGTGATCTCATTCGGCTTCTTGACTTTACTTTTAAACAGACAAGGTTGATCGACCTATCAGTACAGCCATATACTTCTTCCTTCCCTCTGGGAATGTCTCACTCCTCCACCGTATTCCAAGTGCAGAAACATGGCACTTCTATTTGGGCGAACCTCTTACGGTATGAAGCATCTTTCTTATAAACATCTATCACTATAAAAAAAAATCGGCTTTATAGAACATCAAATATGTCTAAATGTCCTAATAGACTTGTTATATGTAAAAATATTACAATAGGTTGATGTGATGCTTTGAGGGGCTCTAACAACTTCTTTTAGGACACATCTTTTTTAAAGGACATTTGTTTTATAAGACAAATTTTCAATGATGTCCAATAAAAAGCTAGAAGAAAGTTTTATTTCGAAAGTGTCGTAAAAATTTTGTTAGGATGTTCAAAAATGTCCTAAACCATGCAATTGTTTCTTCCTACAAACTTAAAGTCCTATAAAGTAGTCCTAAGACGTTTAGGGCATGTTTGTTAGTAGCTTAATGACTAACGAGTTTAGTGGGACTCGCAACTTATTCGGTCAGCTATATATCTTGTTTCACAGTGGCTCAATAATATAGAAAATGACTTATTCAGTAAGCTTATAGGGGGCTTTATGCAGAAAGACAAGTTTTCTCCAAACCTATCATTCCAATAGAAAAAATGCTCCTTCCATCTATGAGAAACCCTCCCAAACAAAAACCTTATCAATCTATACAGACAAATTAATCCACACAAACAACTTTATCCATACACGACTTAACGAAAAACCAATCACACAATAACACTATCTTTTCCAACAGATTCTGGAATTGAATGACAAAGATGGAAGTGTCAAGTTAACGTGCATTGGACCAGATATTGGAGAGAACCAACAGGTGCAGTATACGGTGCCACCAGATGTGTGGTTTGGTGCATTTCCGACAAGAGACTATGATATATCGAAAGACAATGCAGTCGTGAAAAATGCAGCCAGGGATGCAGAGAAACACTTTTCGCTGGTTGGAACCACAGTAGCCCCTGCTTTCGAGTTTGAGGACTTTGTGCTGGCTAAACGGTCTGAACTCATTTCTCAGTTTCCTGCTCACAAATCCCTTATCTTTATGATCACACCTTCCCATTGAAGTCACCCTTCCATATTATGTATAAAGTTTGTTTAAAGTTAAAGACCCACTAATTACATCATATAAACAAATGGAGTTGCTTGATCATATAATATGGCATATATGTTCATTGGAGATTGATCTCTAGATCTGCCTCTTAAATCTTTCTTGGTATGTAGAAAGATGTACCATCCAGGTGTAACATACCTGGCTGACCGTATTAGATATTGTCCGTTTTATCCACACCTGAACTCACGGTTTTAAAACATGTCTGATAAAAGAGGTATCTAGTTTGTTCCCCTTCTCGACCGATGTGGCCCTGTGGTCCATGAACGAATTCTCTTTTTAAATGTATAATCTGAACATGGGAAAGTTCCGAATGAAGTAATTAACTTAAATCTAAGTTGTGAAGATCACATCTTTGATCGTAATAGGAACTGATGCAGCGTAGAATAAATCAACGAAGGTTGATGCCGTTTAATCTACTAATACCCTGGAACAACCTCTTCCGAATCGAATTCATAGGAACTCAAATTTGGGATGAAAAATGGAAGTCTTATGTTCAATATTTTGACCATTCAGATTACACAAGAAACATATAAATAGGAGTCCCAAACTCAGATGGGCGTGAAAAGACACATGAGCGAAGCATAAAAGTCCAAATAAAAATTGTAAAAACATAGCTAAAAAACACCAAAGTATCCAAAAACATGCTCAAACGACGCTTTTAGGCCTCGGAAATCTTGCAGGCGCCCTTGGGCCCTACCCACAGTGTTTCAAATTATGCGCTATTTCCGAGCAGGTCTTGCACACCCACTCAACGTATTTTTGCAAGTAGAATTTTTTTTGGGTATGTAAGGTGCACCCGCTAAACTTTTAGCGTATGTTTCGGAATATTAGAATATACAAGGCATATCAACAAAAAATCCGAAAGTCCTTCGAAATCAACCAAAAATATCCCTCGAAAGCACCCTAAAGAAGACCAAACATATCCCTCGAAATCAACAAAAAACTCGATCCTAAAAAAGTAGAATTCTGCTAAAAACACATCAAATGACTTTTACAGACATTGGATCTACTTTAAAGACGCACCCTTTGGGCAAAATCCTGAATCTACCACCGTAAGATATTAGTTATAAAAGCATTTTGTTGAACCTTCAGCAAGAAAGGGGTTGAATTTTCGAAGGAAAGTGCTCATTCCAAATGAAAAAAATCACATCGGGTGTTTGAGATTGCTTATAAAAATAAATTATTGACTTATTCCGGTGTGACATTAGTAATAAACACTTTTGAGTGTTTGGATAAACAACTTATACCGGTGCCAAACCGATAATAAATAGTTTTTGAAGAAGTTAAACCTGATAAGTGTTTTTGCATAAAAGTAAAAGCAAACATGTTTGAAAAATAAAACCTACCCACAATGAGTTTGAAAAGTAAAATCCATGGTCAGACCAGCGAAAACGATGCCCATAGCCATAGGACCATTCAGAGCTACTCCTGATGAGAGGGTTGGTGTGGGTGGGGCACCCTGCTTTTACTAATCTTTTCGCACAAAGTTTAGATAAATAGCGTGCCGGGAAGTTGAGGAAGAGACATCAGAAAATGGTTCGAACAGCATCGGCGGTGGCCGCAAAGCTGAATCTGAAGCCACATCCAGAAGGTGGGTTTTTCTCGGAGACATTTAGAGACACTTCCATCACCCTCTCCACTTCTCAACTTCCCCCTGAATGTAAGTAATATTTTCACCTTTTTACACACATCTGAATCTTTATGTTTCCATTCTTCTTGATCAATGATGCCATCTTTATGACCAATTGTATCATCTTCGCAGCTGTTTGATGTACAAAATCACGATTCAAAGCTTTAATTTTGACCAAATCGCTAGAAAACTTGATGGGTACGAATGGGTTTGTGACCATTCATTGATTCTGTTAGAAATTGAATACCCTTCACCAGTTATAATCAGAACTTGATCTGAATCCATTTGACTGAGTAGATAGATGTAAATTTGTTCGACTTTTTCTAGGTTATGGTTCAAATGACTGAGATCATTAATCTAATATTCTAGGTTCAAGATCAATGATTTTGAGTTCAAGATCAATGATTTTGAGTTCAAGATCAATGATTTTGAGTTCAAGATCAAWKATTTTGAGTTCAAGATCAAWKATTTTGAGTTCAAGATCAATGATTTTGAGTTCAAGATCAAWKATTTTGAGTTCAAGATCAATGATTTTGAGTTCAAGATCAATGATTTTGAGTTCAGTTTGTTAAGGGGTGGATTAGAAATGGCTGAAACTTACAACTCTTAATGGCTGCTTAGTGATTTGATCTGAGAATTGGTGTGAATACTGGTAGCATATTAAGACATGTTTTCTCTTTCAGATATACATTCTTTTGGGCTTTTTCTCTCTCTTTCTGCTTCTTGATTTTAGCTTATGAACAGATAAGGTCGATCGCGCAATCAGTACAGCCATATACTTCTTACTTCCATCCGGGAGTGTCTCACGCCTCCATCGTATTCCAAGTGCAGAAACATGGCATTTCTATTTGGGCGAACCTCTTACGGTATGAACCATTTATCTGATAATTGGCCTATAAATCTGTCTAGGAATCTTTGTTAGTAACACTAATTTTCTTTAAAAGGTTCTGGAAATCGATGAGAAAGATGGGAGTGCCAAATTAACGTGCATTGGACAAGATATCGGAGAAAACCAACAGCTGCAATACACGGTGCCACCGAATGTGTGGTTTGGAGCGTTCCCTACAAAAGATTACACCATATCTAAAGAAAATGGAGTCGTGAAAAATGCAGCCAGGGATGGAGAGGAACACTTTTCGCTTGTGGGATGCACGGTTGCACCTGCTTTCCAGTTTGAGGACTTTGTGCTGGCTAAACGGTCTGAACTCGTTGCACGTTTTCCTGCTCATGAATCGCTCATTTCCATCATCACGTTTGCGGATTAGAACGTACGGCTTTCGTGTACTTTTGACATGATAGTGGCTGAACTTGTTGCCCATGGATTCAACTGAGATTTATGTTTAAAGTTTCTACTTTCTTTGGAAGTTTTAAGAAATATCTTGTATTATGAATAATAATTGCTCAAAAAATAGCCTCAGACGTATAGCTCGGTTGGCAAAGCAGTAAATTGTTGGATCCATCTTTTTTGTCTTGGAAACCGAAGATTCTGTTTTTGGTAATTTTAAGGTCGGCTGAATGCATCTTTTACTTCCTTGGGACATTGTGAAACGAGTACTATAATGATCGTGGGACCAATATAACGTTTCAAACAATTTGCAAACCCTTTTTCACAACAATGAAAAAGTTTTCCGAGTGTTTCAATTTTTTTAAGACCCTGTTACATCTGTATTAAGACTTACATCAACTTTGCTAGTAATAGACAAGACAAAATATATAAAAAAAAAATTATACTAATATAATATATTAAAAGTCTACAAATTAAAACAATAAAAATATAATAAAATAACAAAGTAACATATTAAATTCACTTAAATAGAATCATTCTTCTAACATTTTGAAACAACCTATGTTTTTCTACAAAAGCACTTATTATAAGTCAGAAGAGTTTATCTTCTTCAAAAATTCCTTATTACCGGTTTGGCACAGGTATAAGTTATTTATCCAAACACTCAAAAGTGYTTATTACCGACATCATACCGTAATAAGTCAATAAGTTATTTTTATAAACAATCTCAAACACACCCTTAGTTCACGAGAACATTTATCTATTTAGTTGGTTTTCCATTAAATCTTGTATCAGTAAAGTTGTTTGTGATTAATTTATTTRTATAGATTGAAAAAGTTTTTATTTAGTAGTGTTTTTTCGTAGATGGAATGAAAAAATCTTTTAAACTTAATAAGCCATATTGTATATCATTAAGCTCGACAGTCTGATCGAATAAGTTTGATAAGTTCCTAGTTGCTAACAAACGGCATGGATTGTTACTGGACCTGGGTAGGGTATGAGAAGAGTACGAATTGTACGTACAACGTGTCGCTGCCTCTGATTCCCATGCCGATACGCGTCCCCTCCAGACTTCTTAATCGCTCGATGCATATCCTATTCCCTGTTCGTATTACCATTTTCTTCACAGATTACTGCATTCTCTATTCATTTAGGGTTTCAATTCCACAACATCATCATACCTTTCTTCATCCTTTAATGCCCACCTGGTCAGTTCTTATAACGCAATCCAATTTTCACATCGTTCTAATCTAAATCACAACAAATTTTATCACTTTTGATCAAAACCCACATACCATGCATTAAGTAATTAAGTTCTATTGCTGTTAACATCATGGAAGATCATATAGATTGTATTATGCATGGCATGCTTAGGTTAATCACCATACAGTTGCATCATAATGTAACAGGATGCTGGATACCACAACAGATTATTTGTCCCCCAAATGTTAAAACTGTTGAGATTTTAGGGATGGAATTCGAGTGTTTGGAGTTAGAACTCAAAACTGATTTACTACCACCTTTAACCTTCAATTTCTTTTCAATTTGCCTTTCTGTAAACGGATTATGCTCCAATTCTGATTCCACTGACATTAAATTGAGTTCTAGAACTTGGGACTTGAAAATCTATAATGATTAAACTCGTTTGTATCGAAACTGAAGTATAGCATATAGTGGATAATGATAGCTGTGTGGAATATATAGTATTCTGTCTCACACTGGTTATATTCTATATTTCTTGTCTAACAGAAACCAAACAAGCTCCATTTGAGCTCTCAGAAGAAGTGAAACTTTCGGAACGAAGAACATACATAGTGTATAGTTGAGATACAATATATGAATTGCAGCAGAACATTGTGAGAATCATGTTTTCGAATTATAATTTCTTTGTAGCTTGTATGTTTCAGTTTCTTCGAAACCTTAAATGGTTAACAATATATTACTTATTGCAGAAGCTGGGTTTGATGTATAGAAAGATGTTAGCCGAAGGGATGAGTTATATGAATCAAATTGCATATAGAGATCTCCATTCACTAGCCCTCATTATTGCAGCATGTTTTGTCCTAATAGCGTTGCTTCTATCATCTGTTCTGATTTTTCAGCATCTCAAATCATATACCAATCCTGAGGTTAGTTGATTTGGTAGCACCTGCTTATATGTTCAAGATTTTGGATGTTTCGCTCCTTTGTAATGAAATTTCGGTTTAACACGAAATACCAAGAAGTATGAATGATGCTCCGTTCGTCCCAAAAGGGAGGGTAACACTTCCTATTTTGGGTTGTCCGAGAAAAGGCAATGTTTTTAGAAAGATTTCTTTGCAAATACTTATTTGTCTGTTAACAATTATTACAAGATATTGGGGAGGTTGATTGGACAAGTTTTCTCAACTCTGTCTTCTTAGAGCATCTCCAACAGCTATGCCATTTTAGAAATTTGGGAAAATTTTGCTCTAATGTTATGTGCCAAGTGAAACTTGAATTTTGTTTTTGGAAGGAGGGAATAAAAGCAATGGCCCTTTTCAGATCTATTTATGTTTTACAGGAGCAAAAATGGATTGTAGCAGTTCTCTTTATGGTTCCTGTCTATGCCTGTGATTCGGTATGTATCCACACTTTATTGTTCCAGCCTTCCGGTCCATGTGAGTTTCATTGAACTAACATATTCGAGTGAGAAATCAACTATTTTTAATCTCTTAATCTGCATCACTCCTTAGGAACATTGTAATTAATATTTTGAATGAAAATCACGATGTTTAACAATTCCATATAGCAAAATAAATTTAAATGCTGCTGTGTTTGTTTTTGTCCTTGCTACTTCTGAGATTTGTTGGATGTATCCTTTTTCTTCTTATTGATTGACCTTATTCTGCCCCATAGGATTATTTTTGCATAATAAAAGAAATGAAGAACCAAAAGGCTTATGTTCAAAAGAAGAAGAAAAAACTAAGGTGTGATTACAAACTATAAACAAAGAAATAAGAGAGAAGTCGGAGATGCCACTGCTTTAGAGTTGCACAAAAAGCTCAAGCCCAAAGCCCGGCCTGAAAAAGGCCAAATCAAGCAAACTTTTTTAAGGCCAGTTTAAAGATTGGCCTGAAAAAGCCCGATTGGGCCGTCTTTCAACCCCAAAACCCGGCCCTGAAAAAGCGCTTGCCTTTTTTGCTTACTGAAAAAAGATTGGAAGGCCTGAGCCTAGGTCTGAAAAGCACGGCCTTGTTCATCTCTCTAGGTTTCATGAGACACTTGTTTGTGAGGGCTCTTTAGAGCTTTGTCTTGTTAGGCTATTTTAAACTAGCTGAAAAGCTAGCTGTTAGGCTGATAAGCCAACTCATGTTCAGTAAAAACAAGCTTATAAGCTAGATAACGATGTAAAATGATCTACAAGGATATTGTGCTTGCCATATATAGTGGCATACTCCTGTTTTAGAGTCCCTTTTTCTAGAGGAAAAAAGGTTCCAACCAATTCTTTGGGTTTAATATTTCTAAGGTCACCAGATAAAACATGTGGTGAGTCCCTTGTTTTACTAAGGGCTCCAACTCTTAAAAGGACATGTTGAAAATTAATTAGAAAAAAGTGAAAACAAAATCCCCCGGAGGTCAGAGCTTATTGAAACGCTACTTGAAGAAGCGTTTTAAAAAGCTAGCTTATGGCTAACCAAACTGAGCTTTTTCAGTAAGCTCAAATAATAAGCTAGCTTATGGTTGCCAAACATGGCCTTAGTCAGTTTGTTCCTATTAACAATGCTTCTCTCAAACAAGAAGTTCCAAAAGAATTGATCCCACATGATCTTGTTGAAGCATGTTAGCTACACTTGGAATTGCATATGGTCATGTGAACTAATAGATAGTTTTGTTGTAAATCAGATTCTGTCCTTGTGGAAACCAGTGTTTTCTCTTGCTTGTGACATCTTAAGAAGCTGCTACGAAGCATTTGCTCTCTATTCCTTTGGAAGTTACTTGATTGCCTGTCTCGGTAAGCTGGCATTAATATATATATACAGAGAGAGAGAGAGAGAGGTGGTTTATTATACAACCTATCCTCTTTGTATAATCATTGCAACTCAATTTCAACCGTCCATTTAATCTAGTGAATATGTGGTTTCATAAATATCTTGATTGTTTCCTAATATAAAATGTTGATCATAAATAATGAACTCTAATCATCTTTCATAAATATCCAAGTCATACTAAATGAACCCTCATCATTTCCGTAAATATCTCAATTGATTGGGTAGCATTGGTTGTACAAATAGGATACCTTGCACTTGAAACGTCCTCTCTCTCTCTCTCTCTCT